TATTCAAAATGTAGAAAATGACGAAAAAAGTGACAAGAGACTGAATCTAATTTAAATATACAAGGATGTTGAAATTTTCAGTTACTATGTCAAACTTTTTGTTGCGAAAAAGAGGACGTGTCTAACAAAAATCATAGATCCAGATAATGATAACAATTAATATACTATCACTTTAGTTGAAAAGATGCTAATTAAATTTTCATCAAAAAATGTATATCGAAATAAGAAAACTATCAGTCAATTGGACATCATCATGCAATGCTCTTCGATGAGATAACCAGAGCAAATCCAGTCGTAATGAGGAGAAGTCTTGTCAAATACAAAAGAAGTGTTAGGAATTGTATCCAATGACCATCGATTTATCATTACAATTAGACCTTTTCTCCTTCTCTTGATAGATTTTCAACCCTTCTATTGTAACTGATCTCATTCAATCCTTTTCTATGCTTGTATGTCCGACATCAACTCTTACTTCCTTTACCAACTTCCATATCTATTCTCTTGCTTGTTATAACATTTTGTTTTGGATAATGCCTAGATAATGCTTTTTATATAAACAAAATTTGTTAGATTTATTAATCTAGCTAAGAGAATAGATATGGAGGCAGATGAAGGAAGTAATAGTGGATTCCGGAGATAGAAGCAGTAAAGACGAGCATCATATGAGATCAGTTACGAGAAAAACATTGAGTATCTGTCAAGAAGGGAGAACACGTTTGCAATGATAAAAACAAATCCATCATTATTAGTCATTGAACACAATTCTTCACTTCTTCTTCTGATGTGTTTACAAGACTTCTCCTCATTGACTAGATTTATTCTGGTTGGCTCATAGAGGAACGTCGCATGTTGTAACAAATTATTTTAATACATATAATGACAAACACAAATACGAAACATCAAAACAATAACTATGGTATATATTATTAAAAGTATGTAGATGATCACCTATATGTAATACTTTGACTATTTTTCTTTATAGCCTCGTATCGCTTGGTTGTGCACTTGATGTAAATGGACCCTTCAATCATATGACGACGCAAATTTGCTACTATAAAAAACTCAGAAAGTTGTACTATATTGACATTAACATTGAAAAACAAAAATAATAATCATGTAAATATCTCAAGAAAAAAATATATCTCACAATAATAATTCTCTGTTTGTAAATATAGACAACACATCATTTGAAAAGGTTTATATTTTATTTTAAATTCAACGCATCATTATTGTTAATTACTTTATTTCGATATAAATTTTATATACCATATTCTTAATATTGACTACTCATTAACACTTTTTTTTTATGAACGTCTATTTATAATTTTTTGGTCAACTATTTGTGAATAGATTACATACCATTTTAAAAACTTGGGTTGTATTTTACGGTCGTCACACTATAATTATTAATTTATTTATTTCGATTAAAATTTATATACCATATCTTTAACATTGACTAGCCGTAAACGCGTATTACTTTCTTTTTTTTTTCTTTTTTGGCACTAAACGTCCATTTGTGATTTTTTTGTCAACTATTTTTTAAAGTTTGTAGTCTATTTTACAGCGTCGCATTATTATTATTAATTGATTTATTTTGATTTGTGTATACTATCTTATTAACATTGACTAGCCATTTCTGCATATATATTTTTTTTCTTTTGGTTATGTACGTCTACTAATTTCTTTAAAATCAATTATATATACAACTAAAATTATATATTAGGTACATATTGTGTGTTTATGCAATATTACATTAGTTATAAGAATATTTCTGTTATGTTTTAGTTTATGGTTTGGACTCGATTTAGGTGTTTGTATTTAAGAATATTTGTATCTTTCTGTTTGAATCAATCAAGATATTCTTCCTGTCGCGAATACCAAATCAGCGAGACAATGATGCAGATACGAG